CTAGGCTCTGATACCAACTTGTCACGACCCAAAACCGGACCCGGCTGTGATGGAGCCTATCATGAAACAAGGTCAGTCGACATAAACCCCCAATACCAATTAACAGTTATTTAATTCATAATTAAGTCATTAATAAGTGATAAATTCCAAAATAAAGTGAAATAGAATAAATGCGGAAACAAACACAGCTCGACATCGGGGTGTCACCAATCATGAGCATAAACATTTGTCTAAGAGTATTAAAGAGACTACACAGTCTATTATAGAACTAGTACAAAGAAAAGTAAGATAAGAGGGAGAAGCACTGGGCTGCGAACGCCGAGCAACTACTTAGTGAACTCCGAACAGCCTGCTAGAAGCAATCAGCCCTCGCTAGCGGGACTCGAGACTCATAAATCTGCACAAAGTATGCAGGGAGTAATGTGAGTACGCCAACTCAGTAAGTAATAAAAGTAAAGGCAACTGAGCGATAAGAAAACACGTAAAACACAGCAAAATGCCACAACGAGGCAGTATAAAACCAATACAATGCAATAAAACAGTGAAAGCTTGTAAAAACACCTTAGTTCAGTGAAAATCTCTTTAAAACATCTTTTAATAGTTCAAACGAGTGAATGAAAAATAGGGAAAAAAGATAGATACCAAAAATCTGCCCCTCGGGCCAAATACCAATAGAATCAGCCCCTCGGGCTATCTCACAATCACTTGTACCCTCGGGCAATAACATGGAACAACATGAGCCTCTCGAGCTATATCACATATCACATTGGGTACCCGCGCTCACTAGGGGTGCACAGACTCCGGGAGGGGCACCTTACGGCCCAAGCGCAATAACAAGCTATCTCGTAGCATAATCAAACAGGCTCTCGGCCTCATATCAAATCACCTTGTGGCGTACAACTCAGGCCATTGGCCTCATAATCATGAATCAGTATAATACTGTTGCGGTGCGCAGCCCGATCCCGTAGTATCCTCACAACACTGGCCCTCGACCTTACTCAGTCAGAATCTCACAAGCCACTCGAGCAATAGTAAAACATGATGCTCAGCCCAAAATATCATTTAGAATATCAAAAATGAGTAAAGATGGCTCAGTTGTGAAAACAGTAGAATATAGCATGACTGAGTACAAATACGAAGCCAAAACAGTGAGGAATAGTAGTAAAAATCCCCTAAGGGTCCAAACAGTTGGCACGAGGCCCAAATATGGCATTCAGCCCAAAACATGATGATAGCAAACAGTTTTCAATCAAATACACAATTAAACAGTCATACGGGATGGACTAAGTCACAATCCCCAACGGTGCACGATCCCACGCTCGTCATCTAGCATGTGCGTCACCTCAAAGTAGCACAACGATGTGAAATTCGGGGTTTCATACTCTCAGGACAACATTTACAATCATTACTTACCTCTATCCGATCCAAACTCAAGCCCGCGATGCCTTTGCCTCTCGAATCGGCCTCTGGATGCTCCAAATCTAACCAAAATCAGTACATAACCATCAAAATATGCTAAGGGAACAAAGCCCACTCGAAAATAATCAAATTACAATACATATCTCGAAATTAACCAAAACCCGATCCCCGGGCCCACGTCTCGGAATCCGATAAAAATTACATCAATAAACTCCTTATCATCCCACGAGTTCATCCATATCAAAAGTACCAAATCCGACTACAAATGACCCCTCAAACCCTTACTCAAAGATCTCCAATCTCAAGCCCTAGTTTCTTCAATATTTACCTACAAATTTCCATAAATTTCAAGCATAATCAATGAAATAACACCATAGCAACTAGTTTTATGATCAAAAATCTTACCTCAATGAATTTCCCTCTGATTGCTTCTCTAAAATCCCCTAAAAAGCTCCAAAATCGATTTAAGAATGGTGAAGAAAGGCTGAAAATCGCGAAAGAGGGTTTATATACTTTCTGGCCCAAGGTTTTCGCACCTGCGGCTCAATTCCGCTTCTGCGGTCGAGCGCACCGCATCTGCACTTTTCACTTAAAATCCCAACTCTGCACTTGCAATACCGCAGGTGCGCTCAAACAGCCGCTTCTGCGATTCCATCTTCCATAGCCATTTCTGCATCTGCGAGCCCGCACATGCGGTCCCCTAGCCGCATGTGCGGTTATGACAGCAGACTCAGCTTCAGCTGCAAATTCCCAATTCCTAACTTTCCGTCAACCATCCGAAATCACCCCGAGGCCCCCGGGACCTCAACCAAAAGCACAACCAAGTCATATATCACTATCCAAACTTATACCGATCTTTAAAACACCTCAAACAACATCGAATCAACCAAAACACATCGGATTCAAGCCTAAGGTTCCAAAAATCTTCCGAATTCCGCTTTTGATCAAAAAGTCTATCAAACCATGTCCGAATGACCTGAAATTTTGCACACACATCCTAAATGACACAACGGACCTACTGCAACTCCCGGAATTCTATTCCGACCCCTATATCAAAATCTCACTTATCAAGCGGAAAACGCCAAATTCCTATTTCGCCCATTCAAGCCTAAACCTACTACGGACCTCCAAAACACGTTCCGATCACACTCCTAAGTCCCAAATCATCTCTCGAAGCTACCCGAACCATCGGAATTCACATATGAGCCCTTTTTCACATAAGTCAACATCCGGTTGACTTTTTCAACTTAAGCTTACTCAAAAGAGACTAAGTGTCTCAAACTTTACCAAAACCTTTCCGAATCCGAGCCAACCAACCCGATAACACATAATACCGCTGAACAAGACAATCAGAAGCAGAAATAGGGAAAACGGAGCGGTAACACATGAAACGACCGGCCGGGCCGTTACCCAAAGAAGGTCTGAGACACTAGAACCAGCAGAAAACCAGTTATGCCAAGCATAAGGAAAAGGGTCTGAAATCAATCTGAAATTCATCCGAGCCCCTCAGGACCCCGTCTAAACATGTCAACAAGTCCCAAAATATAACACAAACCTACTTGATGCCTCAAATCACACATACTAACATCAAAACCACGAATCACACCTCAAATCAAACTTAATGAACTTTCAACTTCCAAAACTCGTGTCGAACCATATCAAATTACATCGGAATGACCTCAAATTTTGCACACAAGTTCCAAATGACATAACATACATATTACAACTCCCGGAAAAACAATTCAAACCCGATATCATAATAGTCAACTTCCGGTCAAACTCATGAAGCTTACAAATCTTCAAATAGCCAGCTTTCGCCAATTATGGCCAAAACCTTCTAGAAGCCTCCAAACACAAATCCGTGCATACTCTCCAGTCCACAATCACCATCTGAACCTAATGGAACTATCAAATTCTCCGATCCGAGGTCAAATATACAAAAGTAAAACTTGGTCAACTCTTCCAACTCAAAGCTTCCTAGTTGAGAATCGTTCATCTGAATCACTCCCGAACAACTCGAAAACCAAAACCGACCATGCACACAAGTCATAATACACCATATGAAGCTACACACGGCCTCAAACCACCGAACTGAATACGAATGCTCAAAATGATAGGTCGGGTCGCTAAAAAAATAATACTCTCTAAAACAAATTAAAGGGCAAAGTACAATATTGTCTGGTTAGCCGAAACTAATTACATTTACTAACAAAGGTTGATCAAGGATTTGGAGCTTCAGGGTGCCAAATACCTTTAGACGTCCCTGTGTCGCTATTTATACATTGGGATAGAATAAATATTTTATCGGTTTGAGCAACTTTGAACTTTGGTCCGGGTTACTGTCTTTTTTATATATAATATATCGACTGAACGGAAAAATATGTAATATAGTTATGATAGAACGAAGATTTGCTAAACAAAATATTATTTTAACTTTGTGTGAAAAAAGTAAATACTTAAGTAATAAGAGACACAAAAAGGGATATTTTCATATGTACCCACTTTTGGGGGGCACCATTGAAGTTAATACTTGCATTGCACAAAATTTTGCAAAGTGTACCCGCTCGGATTTAAAGTAATTTAATCTATTCAATGCAACTTCAAAAATTCGAATCTAAAGTAGTTTAATCTCCTCAATGCAACTTCAGAAATCAAATGTGAAGTTCTTTTATCTTTCAAATGCAACTTCAAAAATTCGAATATTAAGTAGTTCAATCTATAAAATGCAACTTCAAATTTCGAATCTTAAGTTCTGAAACATAAACTTGTTTTTCGAATTTCAACAATCGAATATATGATTGAATGCTCAAATCTACTCCAAATGAGCTCAAATTTAAAACATAACTTTCAAATATAATAAAGAATCAATCTCAATCATCAGATTGTCAAAACAACAATAAATTTAACTAACTCATTTTGCAACTAAGAAGAAAACGACAGTAAAGAAGAAGAGAAAAGTATATATATTTGAAGTTATCCAAAAATTGGGTATCAATTAATTTTTTTTACAAAATTTGGGTATAAATTTAATGAGTAGCGCAAAACTGAATGTCACATAAAAATTTACCACGAAAAGAAAGTCAAAAGTTAACAAATAATGTAAGACACAATAATTACAGAAAAAGATAAAAAGAATGGAGTATATAAAATGATAGAAAGCTTACATGATGTAACAAGCCAAAAGGTTCAAAAGTTACTGCCAATGAGGTTTGATCCTTCACAACCAAGGTGAATCTCCTGCCCTTTGCCACTAGCACCTTTGTATCATTTGTTATTATAGGTGGCACTTCACACACACACACCCTCTCCCCCCCCCCCCCCTATAAGCAGAGTATCACTGAAGCTTGCGGTGGCGTACCTCCCTCTCGGGCCTTACTAAATTCGCCCTTGTTCACTAACTAAAAAGTGTATAAAATATATATATTATATGTATATAATACAAATGTCAAAAAAATCGGCTGTTATTTTTTAGAACGGCTAAAAATATACATTTATCAACTTAATAAATACTCCATACACAAATTACTGGGCTTGTGCTAGCACGGGCGAGCAACATCTTGTATAATTATAACATCCAAACAAAAAGAATAATTTGGCTCAAATAGATTAGCTTCTGGCTCTTAGGGATTTAGTTGAGTGGTAAAAACATCGCATGTGCTATGTAAGTTAAAATACACATCACGATTCAAACACAACCTCGAACTAAAATTTGACATTTAAGTGGAAAAGAGCAAAAAGACTAGGTTATTATGCACCATCTCAAACCGCACGCCAGCTAACCAACGAAGATTTCTCGGCCATAAAAAAATAGAACCAGATTCTGAATTAAGGGTCAATTAAGAATTTCGAAAATGTACAACTGTGACATACACCTGACGTTGCAGTTGGCAAATATAGTCCATAGGCATAATGAATTTTGCCATTCCTGATGGTTGATGAGGAGTCTTTCATCGTATATCTGTCCATCAAGACTCACTCAACCGCACCACGCCACAATACGCAGGTTGCTATAACTTGCTTGTTCCTCACCAATTTGATTGTTTCTTAGAGGGCCCTGCCACCTTGAAAACATTCAACAGCTGCTCCCTCTTGTAGAAGTTTGAGATCAAGAATCTTTCTGAGCAGTCTTGCAAATATCATGTGGACAGAGGCTCCTGTATCAGATATTAAACAGATACTACACTAGATCTTAGTAAAAAGGCCGAGAAAGGTATATAATCCATATGACCATTCTTACGACAAGTCAAGTGGGAAAATTGCACCTTCCGCATATGAAGCTTAGGGTGAATTCACCCTCCATCATGAAGCTTAAGGGTTACACTGTACCATTCCAGCCGAGCAGCAAACAATTTTCTGGCAAAGATAGTCCATGCACATAACTGATCAATCAATCTGTTGAACAACCATTGTAATGCTACTTCTGACCTTTCCGAGCTAGAAATCTTTCCCGAGCAGCTTGTATCCTGCTGTCACGGCCTTCGGGCGACTGAATAGTAGCAATTTCTTTCTTTTCCACATTTAAAGTTACTTCTTGAATTTGCTCATCAGGCTGACTAGATCCCCCACTGTTTCATGCGCATGAAAAGTACAAACATTACAGAGAGGATAATAAAAGTAAACCACCTCGAATATCGAAGAATATGTTAATTACCTCAGTTTAAAGACATTCAGTTTCTCAAGCTTCGCTAAGACTGGTGCAACCCATCGCATCTCAACTGCACATACATTACGCATAAATGGGCGTGAAGTAACTATTAATTCATGATAGACGACATAGTTTGGAAGCATCCCATCCTCATCTGGTTTTAGCACAGAAGATGGATGGACCTGCACAAATCAAAAAGGTACTCAAGATTTGAATTGAAATATGCCAGTTCAAGTATAAAACCATAACAATGGAACATCTAGACTATAACGCCAGCAGATATAGATCTAGTTCCCAAATATAATAACTAAGGAGAGCTCCTACATCATGTTTAGTGTTGATGCAAACTAAAGATGAAACTGTAGACCATGCCCTCCACAAAGGACAAACATGACAAACTAGCAGTGTGAAACAGTAATAACCTGTACGAGTTCAGACTTGAAACCAAGAGGCCGATACCCGTTATGCCGAATGCTCCGTTCAGCAAGCTGATTTGCGTAGCCAATGAACAATGCTTTCCTCAATATTCTATACTCCTGTTGGCTGTCTCTCCGTCTTTTGCTTGTTTGGACATCTAATGAGCCTAGTTTTAAGAAGACAACATAAAGTAACATTTAGGAGCTTGATTTTTTAGAACTATTATGCCGGCATCCATGCAGTACTCCAACCAGAAACTAAACCCTAACTCAAGTGTGGCGCACAGACGCCAGATTATGATGTAAAGGGACAAGTTAAAATTCTACAACCCCAAACAGGACAATCTGGGAAGACCTTAAGTTATTGATGGCTTGTATTTTGAAAACTCTAGCAAAAGGAAACCATTACCTTTAGCAATTTTATGCATTATTTGAGATAATTGTTTCCTGACATCTCTCACGAACAGCATCCCGCGGACCTATAATTAACAAGATCCAGAATGAATAGAATGTTATTCCGCTTATATCCAATGGCATAAAAAGTAAAAAAGGATTATCACACACAAATAACAAAACCAATTGTACTGTAAAAATGTATTTCAATGGTGCTTCATGGAAGTCCAGAAAAATACCTGTAAGTTGTTCTCTTTACACCAGTCTACGTTGTAGTCGGTCTGATACCATTGCTCATAAATTTGGAGTAGCTGGATGTGATCACCCAAGCCAGAACCATCAGGAAGGTTCGAAGGAGTGTGCTTCCTCTTCTTCTCAGAGCTCTTACTGCAAGTTTAACAAATTAGTAGTCAGCTTTGAAGTATTGCCGGCTTAAGTACGGAGGGGAAAAAGAATGCCAAAGAAGAACATGCTTCAAGATGGAAAAACAACAAGAACAAGACCAAAACATGTTGCCTTCTTTATCAAGTCAATGTAAGGCTTCGACCTGTGGAATGCCTATATCTGTATGGAAAACTGATCGCACACGACTTTGGTTACCCTATTATGAGAAATAGAATAGTCCTAATTAAGAGTCACATATTTCTTATATCATGACTTTGACAATCTTTTGATACATAAGATACTGTAGCAATATAATCTTTCTGACAGTGTCTTAAAAGGAGAAGATGCTGATATTAGTTGACACTTAGACTCTGAAGAATCAAGCTGCTCTTCTCACCGTCACCTTATCCTTCACTTCATATTTTCAGTTCACAAGCTTCATGTTCGGAAATCTCAGAGGTTTTTTACCGTAAAAATACTAAATCTGGAATAAAGCAACCATTCTAGATCTCAGGTTCCTGTTTGCAGCTCTAAATCATCCCACTTCATTATCAAGAAACTTCACATGTGATATTTTATTTTTCACAAAGATAGTATGCATAATTTTGTATCGAAATCACCACCAGATGTTCAGATGCTTTAATGCTGCAGAAAAGTTCAACTTCTTTGCTACAGATGAGTATATTAGACTTTTCTTGGTACGAAAATCAAGCTCACTTGCACAGAAAGCAATGTGATTTTACAGATATCAATGCTACCACGAAACAATACAAGCAAGAATTCTGGACAATTCTATATACCTTGGGGCAGGAAGCAGCGTGGTCTCAGCAGACAACATGGAAACAACAGTCAGTGCTTGGGACAAACAATCCAACTCATTTGCCTCTAGTAAGGTCCTGGAAAGAGAAGGTTCCAGTGGAAGCTCTGCACAAACTTGAAAAGTTAGATCTCCTGTAGTTCTGTTTCCTGAATGAATTGCTTTATGATCTCCAGAATTATGGAATGCAGGAGAACTGTAGTGTGGTTTATGAACTCCCCCCATAGTTTCTCAAGGGAAGAAGCCAAATGCACAAGAAAATTCATTACTCATCCTTTCATAGCAAAGTTTTGACTTTCTTTTTTCTTTGAGGTGGGATGGCTTAAAGGGGACCTCTAGTCTAACATAGAATACAAAACAATAGAACTATTACCAGCCATCTTTCGTCCAAGGCTTGTGATTGAACCATTTTCATCAATTGCATCGACTAAATATAATTGCTTCAAGGCATCCTCTAAAGACTCCACTGCAACGAAAGCAACAAAACAATGAACAATTGAACAGGTAAACATTTACAAAAGCAGAGGAGATTTGGAGCATAAGACCAAAGAATAAGGTAAGAGAAACTGATGCTTACTGGAAGGAGAGTCGAGAAAATCAAATTTGAGAATATCCATATCAGCGAGATCTAAGGACTTCAAATAAAGTACAGTTTCAGCCAGTGAAGACCTTTGTATTTCAGGAACGGTGGCATCCAAAAAATCGTCATGGTAAACCATAGAGGGATATAAACGATAACACTTTCCAGGACGAGTTCTTCCAGCGCGTCCTGCACGCTGCTTTGCCTGCACCCTGCAGTCAGTCATAGGTGGAAAGCTCAAACATATACTTTACTGAAGTAGAAATGACCCTAAACTTTATATCAACAAATTTAAAAGGAATAGAAGTCGGTATACTTTACTGAAGCAGAAATAATCCTATATCTATATCAACAAATATTAGACAGAGCAAAGAATAGAACACTAAGCAAAGATCAGAGACTGAGTTTTTCTGTCCATATACTTCTCATCATCTCATCTGTCGACAGAACAAAGTAGTCAATTAGGTATCCAAAAACTGTATGGTGGCTAAACGCATACCAGGGTAAAGATGGTATTAACTCCAAATTCCTCCAAGCAACCCTTGAACTACTGGACCAACACACTAAGGGGAAAAACGGGAACAATACTAAGTGGAACAACTTTTTCCCACGAATGCCTTCTCTTTGTCAAAAAGCTATATTTTCCGACTGTTAATGCAGCTTAACACCTCAAACAGAAGTTCTTTCTCAAGCACCCAAAACCAGGTAAAAAATAAAGAGAAAAAGGTTACACATGTTAACTTACTTGCTAATCTGCACAACCTCCAAAGAGTACATGCCAGTTGATGGGTTATATTGCCGTTGCTTCACATACCCCGAGTCAATGACATACCTGTCATCAGGTTTTTGCAAGAAAAAGCTGTTTAATGATGTCCGTAAGCAGAAAATATGAATCTAACATCCATTACATAGCAAGCAAAATGAACAGCAATAAAACTTGCCACGCCTTAGTTCACAGTTAGTACTCTGTAGCCTACACTGTGGGAAAGAAGGGAGGGAAGATGAGTGGAAACTTTCGCCTAGAGGAAGGATATATTCTTCTTAATTACGCTTCCATAGAAGTAGGAACAATCAAAGAGAATCCGTCAATTTTTAGGAGTGGAATGAAGAGAATGATTAAGACTTCACCATAGTACTAAATACTCCGCTCATACGTCATACCAATTGTAAAAGAGAATTGACGGGATCTTTTGAGTTCAATAAAACAGGCATAAGCAATGTTTTAAATATTGCTCTTTTCCTAANCTTTCTTATCCTAAAACTAAGTTGATTGCATAAGTAAATTACATGGGCCTACTGACAATGGTAATCTTCAAAATCAAAATAGAAATAACCAATCAAATTACTGCCTACGCCTTCCGTAGAGGGGATGACATTCTTGCAAGAGCAGGAAATGATCAGACGTCCACTCAAAAACACTCTCACCTTGCTCCCAAGGGTGTGTCATAGAGGTCAATAAAGTTGGAAACCATAGGAGACTAGGGTTCAATCCCAACAGAGGCAAAAAGGCTAGCTAATTGCTTCCCTCCTGCCTAAGCCTTGTTGACCAGAGTTTTCGGGTAACTCTTTTGGTGGGAGAATGCAGGTATAAGGTGGAATAGTCGAGGTCCATGCAAGCTTGCCCGAACACCACTATTATATAACTAAAAAGGTACCCAAGTAGACAAGAAGACAAATACTAGTAAAGTATATGATAATTTCTTTGCGATTACTGTTCGGTAAGTACCCATCCTGCAATTTTTGCAGGGGTCTTTGTTTGAGAGATGTTTGCTCAATTATTTATTATTATGATTATTTTCCTTGGGAAGATGCTTGCTCAAATATTATTCAAACAAATATACAATAGCTCTCCTGGGAGAGTAAACTAAAATTTTTGAAGCGTTTATACTTTAAAGTAAATGCTTATAGCTGGAAATGCTCGTCGTACAAGGTTTAGCACTCCAAGTGTAAGTATTACTCACCTCACCAAACTGTTGATAGTAAAATATATACTGCATATTCATGCTCAAGAGAGCACGTTAAAACACCAGGGGGGAAGATCAAAATCCCATTGATTTCACCCATTTACCTTTATTGGTTCTCTAGATAACAATTAGTTTAGCAATTAACTGAGTTTTCTTCTTTTTGACGACCACATTATTGCATGTGATCAATCACTGCAAATCATTTGTAGGGAAGCGAGAAACAGAAAGTTGAGCATTCTAAGTATCACAAAGTCACAGAAAGATAAGAACCAATGAAGCACACAATATGTTAACACTTAAATAACCTCCAAGATCGTGCATAGCAGTGTCAGATCTACTTACACAACACCGTCAACAGTCAAAGAAGTTTCAGCAATATTTGTAGAAACAATAAATCGCCTACAATGTGGAGGTGGAGGACTGAAAACACGCACCTGCCCATCAAAAGAAATAACAAAAGGAAAAATGTTCAAATACATGACTGCGATAAGAGAAACAAGGGAAAATGCTCGCAAACGCATATAGTACAAGAGCAATAACCACGCAACTACTAGTATTCAGCACGGTAAACCACTTAAAATGTGGCTGAAGAAAAAGGAGAAGAACAATCATCTGAAGTTTCATAAGGAAGATGACCGATCAAACAAAAAATTGTCCTCCAAGCTAAGTTCAACTCAACCACATATTTGACTTCTACTTATGTTGTGGATTCACTATATAAACTGTGTCACAACAGCTACGGAAACCAAATTATTTATCGCATATTTCATCAACCAAAAAACTTATTGTTGTCAACTGGTGACCAAAAGGAGTGAGTCAATCAAGATGCTACTGTTCACAACTAAAAGTGCAACAAACATGAAATTGTTGCAGCACAGACAACTGCCAATATCTGTTCCAGAAAGCCAGCTAGGACTATGATACTCCTTTTTAACTTGACTAGAGGACTATGACACTTTAATTCACCTTCATTAAAACACTCAGTTTAAATATGAAATCTCTCTGGAAGGGTAATGTCAGACACAACAGTAGATCAGATATTTAATATCTGAACCAACTAGAACTAGAATTTTCAGGATTTCAAGGCAAGGAGTTTGAGAAGGAAAATAACTTGCCTGCATGTCAGGTGGCAAGGATCCATGAAGAGGAAGAATTAAGGCATCCAGACAAGAACCTTCTTCTAAGTTTTGAATTTTCTCCTCCAACTTCAATACCAATTTCTCTATGTCATCCTAAATAAGGTTCTCAATTTCACTTTCCAGGAAATAGTGATTTGCATCTCGAACCATTTATTCTTCAGTGGGAAATAGAGAAAGGACTGTGATATACAAAAAAGCATCAGACAGGAAATACTCCATAAAACTCACCTGCCCTGTCAAAAATATTAAAATGTCCCCTTCTGGCTCCCGTACGTGAATATCTATGCACCAAAATGAATTGTCAGACCAATTCAGAAATAAAATTAAAAAAAATTACACACAAAAGGAAAGGTGAACATTTCAGATTAGTAGAAAGCAAGAAACAATTGAAGGAATAAAACCAAGATTCAAACTTGTAAAACAAATATGAGATGTCATAGTTCTCGTCATACCAATAGCTGTTTTTAGAGAAGCCTCCACATAGTTTTTAGGGCGCTCTGAGATGTGTACTATTTCCACAGGAAATAACTCGCCTGGTACGGTAAGGACGGGACAGTCGGAGAAGAACCTAGATACCTTTCCACCATCAAGAGTTGCTGATGTGATCAAAACTTTCAAGTTTGAGTGACGCCGTTTAATTAATCTTTTCATTAAACCAAGCAATATATCCCTGTGATTGATATCTCAACAATGAAAAAGTCATCTATAGAGATAACCAACATGATCTAAGCAAAAGGAGAATGAAAGACTAGAATAATCTAACAGTTGGATATAACTCTATAATGTCAAGCCGAGATGAACATATAGAAGGTCATGGAAAATGGATCTAACGTGTTCAAACTCCTCTCATGTGCTTCATCCAATATGATGACAGAATACTGATTCAGCTCCGGATTAAAAAGACTCTCGCGGAGGAGCACTCCATCAGTAAGATATCTGCAGTTTGAATAATCTTCCAGTTAAATGTCAAAAAAGGAGCAAGGGAACTAAACCAATAGAAAGTGCCAATGATAGTAATTGGTATTAACAATAATTAAGAACCACAAAAAGTACTTGATATGTGTTTTCTCCGAAGTTCTATCTTCAAATCTTATGGCATAACCGACTTCCTCTCCAAGTCGAACATTTTGCTCCTGTGCAACTCGTCTATTCATGAAGAGTTGAAGGAAATTATCAAAGAACGAACCGAAAAAAAAAAGTTATAAGCTGAAGAATGAAGCAAATAGAGAACACCAGATGTTGGTGTAACTACAGCATAAACCAAATATATAAAAAAAGATGTTGAACAGCATTTTTCACGCTTCTATTACCTTCAACAGGGGATTCAGATTAAGGCTAATGTGGCAATCACCTCCACTGGTTTTATCAAACACCAATAGTGGATCCACATTATGCCATATGGGTGCTTAAGCACCCATTGCTTTTGAAAACAAGACTACTACTTATATAGAAAAATTAATAATTTATATAAATATATTAACTAAGCAGTAAAATCATCAGCTATGTCTTCTTTTTGTAACTTGGAAATTATCTTGCTGTTTAAGAAATCTCTGTAATGCAACTTAATTTTGCATATTGTGAAAAGGAAGTACCTCAAATTTGGAGAAGGATAAGTATTTTAGGAGGTACAGAGTAGAGGCAAGATGATTCTACCACATTATTGCACAAAGTCTGAATTAGCTTTTGAGCCAAAACTTTGCAGAAGATTCCTAATATTCTGGATATTTGAAAATGTTCTGGTACTAGATGTTGCGATGGATGTGTGGGTGTACCAGGAGAGATAAGATCAAGAATGAAGTTATCCGAGACAGAGTGGGAGTAGCCTCCATAGAGGACAAGATGCGAGAGTCGAGGCTGAGATGGTTCGGACATGTTAAGAGAAGAAGCATTGATGCTCCTGTTAGGAGGTGTGAGAGGTTGGCCATGATGAGTTTGAGAAGAGGTCGAGGTAGGCCTAAGAAGTACTGGGGAGAGGTGATTACACAGGATATGGCGCTGATTCAGCTTACTGAGGACGTGACCCTTGATAGGAGGGTGTGGAGGTCGAGGATTAAGGTAGAAGGTTAGTGCATAGTTTTTAGTTGCTCACCGATAGTCTTAGTAGCACGCATGTCCCTTCTTAGATTTTTATTACGTTATGTGGTTCTGTTCGCCTCAAGTATTGTATTCTCTGTTGCTATTATTTGGTACTAATTATTCTTTATCTCTCCCTTTTTCTTTTCTCTTTCCTCTTTTTCTTATTACCCTTCCTGAGCCGATGGTCTATTGGAAACAACCTCTCTACCTGTTAGGTAGGGGTAAGGGCTGCGTACAGACTACCCTACCCAGACCCCACTTGGTGGGAACATACTGGGTTTGTTGTTGTTGTTGTTTATTAACTAAGCACCCAGTCTAAGTAGTAATTTTCAAATTAAGAATGGTTGTGCACCCACAATCTAAAAAACCTGGATCCGCCATTGTCAAACACAATTAAAAATGCGCTTATACTACTAAGTCTTTTTCCTCATTTACCCTTGCCCCAACTAGGGGTGGCGTTCGGTATTTCGGTTCGGTATTTAAGAATTTCGGCTCGGTATTTCGGTATTCGGTTTATCAATTGTGTATACCAAATACCGTACCAAAATATTTCGGTACGGTTCGGTATTTATTATTTTGGTTCGGTACGGTTTCGGTTTAATATTATGGCTTCTACCTTCCTTGATTGATGCAACTTTTCTCTATTAGTTGATTAGTTCACACACACTCCTAATCTGGAAATGAAAACAAGCACTAAAAAATTAGTAGTATATGAACAAAGTACTATTGATCAATTCTGAATCAAACAGAGGAGAAGAAAGAACTTCAAAACAGAAACTTTTGATTTTTTACAACTTGCATTACAAATTGAAAATCAACTAAAACTACAACAAATACATAAAAAATATAAAGCGCCTTCTAATAATATCATCGTACTAGCTTCCCCGGCGTCCAAACCTGCTGCATACAAAAACTGCTTAACTATATATTATCTGTAAACTGTAATTTTCCGAGCTGATCCCTATTCGAGTTTGGCGGTTGTTCAATTCTCCGCGCCGTCTTACGAGCTGAAGAAGCTGATCTCTTAGCTTCTCATTTTCAGTAAAAATGATTCAACGACCCAATTGATTCAACAAGGAAACTGTAGTGACATCCTCACACCCAACTGATTCCATGACATCTGAACATTGATGGCACTAAAAATATTAAAATAGCATGCTGGCCTGGAAACAAAGACAACGAAATATGTTGTTGTTGGGCTTGGGCAGTTGGGCTGGGGCGATGGGTTGGGGCGCTAGGAATTAAATTAAAAACGTTTGGGCTTGGGCGCTGGGGTTGGGCAGTGAGATATAGGTCCAACTTAAAAAAAATATCTTTAAAAATCCGGTAATTTGGTATTTTGGTATACCGAAATTTCAAAATTCTAATACCGAGGACCGTAGCGAAATACCGAAATACCGAAATACCGAAAATGCAATACCGAATTAGACCGAAATACCGAATTAATTCGGTCCGGTTCGGAATTCGGTTTTTCGGATTTTATGCCCACCCCTAGCCCCAACTAAACATCTCAAACAACAAGATTTCCCAAGTCAGGTAACGGATCTCAAATTTTCATCATCTGGCATAAAGGAAGTCTCTAACTATACATACTACATACTTGCTAGCATAATCCTCAATGACTCTCTTATTAAGAGGGAAGTAAAATCTCAGGTTACCTAAATTCTTACTACTATATAACCTTGTTTTCTCTTCTTGCATCTCCATTGAAATGTCTTCTGGTTAGTAATTTCCTTCAGTATAGTCTCTCATCCTTCCGAGATTTCATAACTGACTCCTTAACTCTAAGTCTAACTAACTCCAAGAGATTGGTATAGCTCCCACAACCTGCCTAACTAGACTCACTTCATCTGCAGCTTTGAACTGAACTTTGCATAGACATGTGGGCGGTGGCGGAGGGCCGGAGGCAGCTTGAAGGAAGGTGGTTCAATTGAATCCCCTTATTTGAAAAATTATACTGTGCAGATAGGGCAAAAAGTAAGGGAAAGGTTCAAGCAAAGTGGCAAAGGGGTTAGAAAATTGCTTTAGGTCATAGGTTAAAATTCTCTGTGTGACATTTTTAAATCACCTCGTATAAACACCTGGCTCCGGCACTGGAATGATGGCCAAAGTTCTATTCATAATTGCGGGTAGGATGTAGCAGGTAGCCGGACAAGAAGACAATGAAAATTTTGATTTAACATATAAATAAACGACATTTCGAGTACAGGGAATTTGAAAGGAAAAAAAAACACAATAAATTCAACACGACATGTAAATTGTAAAGATACAAAGTTTAGGAAGATTACCTAGAAACAGAAACTGCAGCAACGCGGCGAGGCTGAGTAACAGCGATCATTCCAGATTTAGCATACCCTCTTTTATAAAGCATTTGTGAAAGTTGTGTACTTTTACCAGAACCGGTCTCACCAATAACTACCACTACAGGGTTTTTCTCCACTGTTTCTATGATTTTCTCCTCAAATCGAACTATAGGTAAATCCGCCATTGATTTACGGGCTTCAAAGGTTCTAACTATTCTTAAAAATCGAATTCAGGCCCTCTTTATTTGTTTGGCAGAGCCAATTTGTTATTACTGAAAAAAAGTTTCCAGTTTTAACTTTTTAAGTTTGGCGAAGTGCCCAAGTAGCCCTTTTGGGGAATCCTGTTTAATGTACGGAGTGTATTTTTTTAAGTTTAACCTCCTTGCAATCAAGGTATTTTACCCATCTATACGAAACTTATTTACCTTTCCTAATCAAGTTTTAACTTAATTATATGATCATATACAAATTAATTTTAAATGAGTATCATTTTATACTAGAAATTAAATAAAGAATATCAGTTATTTTCCCATATACTTGCGCGCACGCGCTCTGTGTCTCCCTATCTCTCCTTCTCTGTTCTTTCCCCAATTTTTCTTTCTTTGATGTTCTCTACTTTTCATCCTTTCGTTGTATATAATTTTAAATGAATTCATCAATGGATTTCAATCGTTCTACCATAGAGTTTTAACTTAGCAATTTTCTTTCATGTTGCACAATTGGTGTTCGAATTGAAATTGTCAATCAAAAAATTTTGAAGGTGTTTGACTCTCCACCATTGACAGTCAATAAAAAGTTTTGAAGCTTTTAATTCGAATTTGAGCTTTCAAAAACTATTATTTATTTGGATTGGATGTTGTTGCAAATAATTGGGAATATTCTTTGGAGTTTATATCTCAGTTTTGATTGTGTTTGGTGAATATTAGACTTGATTTTGGCAGAAGCTTAGATTGAAACTCGAAGAAGAAGAAGAAGAAGAAGAAGAAGAAGAAGAAGAAGAAGAAGAAGAAGAAGAAGAAAACATGACATACAATATACTTACGAAATTGTATTCAAGTTGTATTATAGTTGTATGTAAATTGTATTTAAGTTATATTCTGTTGTAATTATATATTTTTTATTTGAATGTTGTATGAAAATTGAAAAATAATTGTATAATGTATGAATTTTGTATTTAAGTTATAAATACAATCTTTTTACATAAAATTGTTGATATGTATCAAAATTGTATTAAGAGAGGAATTTTGTATTGAAATTGCAGAGAGGAAGAAAAACACACCACATACAAAATATATACAAATCATATACAAAAGACATATTGTATACAATTTGTATGAAAATTGTATTTAAGTTGTATGATGTTGTAGTTGTATTTAACTGAGTAAAAATAAAGTATGAAAGTTATAGATAAGTTATAAAAAGTTGAATACTATATATTTAGTCGTATAAAATCTGTTTTTAGTTTATATATTGGTATAGATGTAATAAAATTTCTATCAAATTTAAATATTTTGGCATTCAACTTGTCTGTTTAGGCTCCGATAATAAAGTCATCGGTAGCTCACTGAAAATTCCTTGTATAGTTTCGAAAGCATATATACCCTCCAAATACAAATACAAAGACGATAACCACAATGATTAATGTGGGTGAAAATTATTACGACCGTGAGTTATGATCGCAATCTTGCATTAATTCGTGATAATAATTTATGATACATGAATATTTTTGAACATTTACAACATATTCTTTCGACTTTTCCTCTGTTTCAGAAAAGCCAAAACCTATTTGTGATTCGTTCCTTTCATTATCGTTTATACATGGAGGAAGTTATTCTTAAATAATGCTCTCTTCCCTTTCATTTTACATAAAATATTATAGTTAAGGCGTATAAGAAAGAGGAGATGATAAAAAAAAAAAAAAGGAAAATGGTATAACTGAATCCTCTAATTTAAGGTACAAATAATTGATTGTATATGGATAGATGCAGAAGAGAATATGAAAAGACGAGAGGAAAGAAAAAAAGAAAAAAGATATAACTGAATCCTCTAATCTAAAGCATTAATAGTGGATTGTATATAAATTGAAATTAATCTTTGTTTAGGGCGGGTAATATACAAAACTAAGAGTATTTTGGTAAATAAGTTTCAAATATTGTATAGGAAGAAAAAAAATCCTACAATCAAATATTCGATCAATCACGGGTATGAAGTTTCAAACTTACACTAAAACCTGTCAAAGCCTTTGAAGTTTCAATGCATTTAAAATCCATAAGGAAGCTACGAATTTAGGCTCTAGCGTAGCTTAATCTTATACCCGACGGTATGAACAAAAAAGAAGTTAGAACTTGTTGAGAAAGTAGATTTGAAGATGTGTCTACATGCTTAAGAAGAAGTGTGAAGTGTGAAGTTTATCAATACTAGATAAATCTTAAATAATTTTAAAGACTAGATATGTTGTAAATATGATTGCTAAAAGCAGTTACTTTGTGTCATATGGATATGAGTCATTTCTACGTTCTGCTTGCTAATTGCTACAAACTTTGTTATGACTCATATCATATGGATATGTATTTCCAAAATTTCATAATAGTTTTGACCCCCAAAGAGGTGTCTAATGCCCAATTTATTTTATTAAAATTAATATGTTTGAATTTAAATATACATCTGAACATTAAGATGTACATTAAGATAAAATACCTGAATTTGGATGCACATTTGATACAAAAATATTATATTAAAGTATGGATATTAATTAATTAAAATTATGTGCTTTCTCAATTTTTTAATGTGTAGAATCTGTTTTTGTTACAAATCAATAAAATATAATATTTGAATAACATATTACTAATTAACCTTAATATTCTATCAACAAAATATTAAAAAAATAAACTTATATAGAGCCCATTTGGCTTAGCTGATTTAGAGTAGCTGATAAGAATTAGGTGCTGAAAAGCACTTTTAAGTGCTGAAGCTATTTTAAAAAATAAGCAGTTACGTATTTGGATAAAAGTGCTGAAATTAATAATAAGCAACTGGAGAATTGGGTATACGAAGAGTTTTATTTTAAAAAGAAGTATTTTAGAGATAGAATAGTAAATATTCTGGTCAAACCTAAAGTGTTTATAAGCTGAAATTTGATAAGTTGGGGGAGACCAACTTATGGCTTTTGGCTTATTTTTGGCTTATAGACAGTTAACTTATAAGCACTTTTAATTTTACCAAACGAGTAGATAAGCCAAAAAGTACTTATAAGTCAGTTTGACTAGCTTATAAGCTTAGCCAAACACTCTCATAATACGGTTAGTGGTGGTAGTGGAGATAGCTACTGCTGGTGGTTGTGTATGCTGACGGACAATTGTAGTTGTATAAGGTAAAATTTGTTCATATTAAATACTCGCACAATAAAGCGACACGTGAAACTGGAGACAGATGAAAAACGAGACGAGTGGATATCAAGACCGGGGCAGCAGTCTCGGTTGGCACCGGGAAGCCCCCGAAGGGAGTGTTGCTCATGAAGAAAAATAAACGCTTGCCACCTGGTAATATTCAATAAAGAATATTCTGTAGTATTAAATACATAGTCTATTATAGAGAATATGGCATTCATAACCTGTCGATACACATTTTTCAATGGTCTCATTATTATCATTTAAGAGGGGCTTGATCCTAGGACCTTTTTCCCTAGGTGCAGCTTAAATAGTGATTTCAACAACCATTGTAAACACGAATTTTCTAACAAACTTATGCTACACATTACTCTAAGCTCAATAACACTTTATTTCTTGTTTATTAACATTATTATTGCCTTCGGAAGCTCTGCTCTCGGAACCAAGCTATCTGCTATCTTATCTCGATTTCAACTCTAAGTCTTGCATTTTTATTTAATTTATTTATTATTATGGGATCAAATCGATTCATTTGTCTATAAATCACGTATAAATTCAACTGTACCGTTTTACGGCTAAACAGTTTGACGCCCACCGTGGGGCTTAGACAATTGCGTAATTGAGTTGATCCTTGTATCTATTACTAACCTGTTTAAATTCTTTGTTTCTTAGTGAAAAATCATAAAAAATGGCAGATAATGATGTCAACATCATGCACAATGTTGAGGCCCAAGGAAATCATCCTAAACACGAAGATTCGATCAGCGATACCCACAATGAAGAGGGCGTAGTTGTGAGCACCTAATTTTTGTCATACATGAAAATAACTCCTAAAAATAAATCAAAAATAATTTTTAATAGATTTTAGGAGTTTTCTTTATTTAGTTGCATTTCATGCATTTTTAATATCTTAAAATCATAGAAAATCATAAAAAAAATTATTATCACGTTTTAATTTCATGCCATCTTAGGTTCAATTTGCATGTAGGAATTAATTTTATTAAGCAAAAAATCACAAAAATGGTCATTTTTATATATTTAGATTTTAGTCTTTAAAATTAGCATTTTTCTTTAGTTTTAAGTTAATTAGTTGGATTAATATTAAAAATAAATAAAGAATTTTAATTTCTATAAAATAGATTGATTTAGGATTTTAATTAATTTAACTAGAATTTAAAATCAAAGAAAAGAAAAGAAAACAAAGAAAAAAGGAATTAAAGAATTGTTTGGGTCTTGTTCAAATTGGGCCAAACACTACATTGGCCCAAAAAACCTAACCAACCCCATGGCCCGACCCGAACTGAACCGGCCCCATCCCCTCTTTAAAGACCCCCTTTTCCTTAACCCTAAAAGATCGAACCATATCCCTTAACCTAAGATCAGCCCCATTTTCCTTTGGGTTTTTGGGTTCTTCTTCCTGATCTCTCATCTTCAATAGAGGATCAGACACACATAAAAAAAAAGAACGAACACCACCTCTCCTCTTCTCTATTCCCTCCTCTTCTGCACTCTCATCTCTCTCATTCATCCTCGTCGATTCATGCCTATTCACCCTCAAGCGGAAACAATATCACGCCCTTTACTAACTAGAAGAGAAACTCCGAAATTCAAAACTGAAAGAAAAAATATATGAGAATTAGATTTTGGGGAGCCTTTTTTCTGAACTTTAAAGCAGTTGAAGGTTGACTTCACCGTGGACTTTGGTTGTTGTATCGCTGGGGTTGTTTAGCTGAGATCCATTTGTGTTTATCCAATCTTATTTGGATCAATCGAGTTTTCTTTGTTCAATCGGGTTAGTTTGAAACCTCTCTGTATTATGCTCTTTTTAGTAAATGATTAAACAATAGAGCTTTTATTAGCTTCGAAGATCTGTTCGATTCTTAATCTATGTTGCTC